GTTCATGTGACCCTGTTGTATTGCATAGCTGCAAAAAGAGGGCAAATTTGTTTTAAACTGAAAACAAATTTGAAACCAAAGCAGCCAGTTGGAAGGAATTTCTGGGATAATATATTTGATTTAACATAATACCTGTGAGCCCAATGCATGGATTGGCATCTCATTATGCTAAATATGTTGGAAGAAAAGATATTATCTACCTTTTGTATCTTAGTGAGAGGTCTGAAATTAATAGTAGTACAGGGAGGAACACACAAAAGCAGTGGTAGGAGATTAGTGCAGTCAGGTTTCAGTTGCCACATGTTGCTTGTCTGAGCTCCGTTGTGCCACAGATGCAGAAACCTCTTAGAGGAACCTGGCATGGCAGATCCTGGACCACGAGGGGTTGAGGAGCACAATGGAAAGGCGTCTGCTTGCTCAGAATCAGGTCATGAATCATCAGATGAGAACTGATCCATCCAGGTTTATTAGCTTCAGCTCAGTACTGGCCTTGACAGATCTGTGTTGCTTCCAAGAGAAAAATTCCTGCATTTCTGTAATGTGCTTCCTATGTTTTAGGTTCTCAGGGATTTGTTAGTTTAGGCATCTTGTTTGATGACTAGACAATAGATTGTGATCTCAGCAGTGTAATTTCTGTTAAGTATTTACAGTTTTTTCGTAATTTCCTTTTTATTTTAGAGATGTCATGGAAAAGAAGAGATATAAGAGGAATTTGAGGAAGGTCAGTCGGGTAACTAAACGGATATTTGTCGTGTGTCTCTTCAAGTAGCAGTAGTGGCATGGGAGAAAACATGAAAATGTATGACTGCATATATGACAAGCTGATACTGGGAAGTGGACATAGCAACCTAATATTAGATAAGAGATGAATGGACTCAGGTTAGGCTGTGAACATCTTTGACAGTGAGAGCAATTTTTTTTGTTGGTGTTGTTTAAAGTAGTAAAAAAGAAAAACAGCTTAGAGAATCCAAAAATGAGAGTTTTGTGAAAAGAAGGTCATTAACAGCAGCATTCACTTTGGGTGATGAGCAGGCAGGACTGCATTTAGGGTCAGAAAGGAGAATGTTGCAATGACTAAGGCATGATATAGGTACTCAGACTACCTGTGTGTATGGATTTTAGAGCTGATAGGCAAAAGGAGTCTTTAAATGTAATCAAGTTGCACCTGGGAGAGAATAGAATTAAAGATGAGAAGTGTTTTATGTGTGTAAGTGGTGAGTAGTTTGAGTATGGCTCCCTAGTGATGTAAAACAAGCATTAAAAAGCATGAAAAATAAAGGAATGCCATGCATGGTAAAGTAACAAATTCTGGATGCTATTCTGTGAATGAACACTGTAGTAATAGAATACAGGGTTAAACCTGTAAACTTGAGGGAACCACTAATTGTTAATTCACTTAATATCATTAAAACCAACGATGTCCAGCTTGCCTACAGTAGTCATAAATGACAATTGGAAAATATCTCAAAATGTGTGTGTATGTGTATATATATGTGTATATATACATGTATATGTACCGTGTGTGTTTGTGTATGTACATACATACACACACATATACATATCATACATAGAGAGAGACACCAAAACATTCACAGGAAAAGCAAACTTGCATAGGTGGAAAACTTTGACAAACTTATAAGCATACAACTTCTTAATCTGCTGAAGGGCTTCTGTACCTGAAAGCTTTCTTTCCAACTGTGTCACTTGGTCTAATAAAAAAATGTTCCTTCTCTTTTAGACCATGTGGATTCCTAGACAATCTTGACTGTGACAGCATTGCTTCCACAATGCATATTTGATGAAAATAGCAAGCAGCAGGGAACCCAGATTAATATATTTTTATTTTCATTTATCTAATGGAAGATACTCCTCTCCTCACTAAAATAAACACTGTAATACATGGTCTAATTACATAAGGCTGTTTTCCTTTATGCTGTCAATTTTTTTCTCCGTGTAATCAAATGTGGCAAGAAATTGAGAAGAGAGTAGTTTTCTAGCAGTACAGAACTGGCACGGAGACTTTATGTGAGCTTTTACAACTATTGGAATATATAAGACTAAGTTAAGCTAAAGTCTTTTGGGAGTGGTTGACCTACCTTTCTTCTCTAACTGACAGCTTATGTTCAATTTGAACTTAAACCATACGTCTCCTTTTCCTAGTCTTGTACCTTCTCTCTCTTTGCCTGCCTGCCCCTTGACCTGCCATCTCTCCCATGTGGAACTGGAGTAATTTGTACTCTCTGTTAAGAAAGCAGACAGGGAAGATGAACTAATTTGCTCTGTAATGTGCAAATCTGAAGAAAAATGGTAAATGTTTGGGTCAGGCATTGTAGTAAACTTAAGAAAATTGAGACATTGACTAGGCTGATGCAGTTACGTTGGAGAAATCAAAGGTGTAACTGTCCCCTTGAGGAAAGGAGAATTATATTGTGCCCCAGGCTTCTGAAACAGAACCTAAGGTAAAGGTGTTAACTGCTGCAGTTCTGTTCATCTTTATCGGTTTGTAATAAGTTACTTGCCTAGAAATTCTTTCTGCTAGTTTGTGCTTATAAAAAAATAAGCACTATTGCAGTTCTCTGTGTATTTGTGTGTACGTGCACACGTGCATATGTTTACGAGTAAGAGCATCTCTAGTGCCTACCTGTAACTTTTATAAGCCCAAAATAAAAAAGAATGTATGAGCATTGCTATTATATTGCTATTTTCAATTATTATTAGTGTCTCAAAGATTTTTCTATTTGACTGAAACATGGGGTGTTTCTTTTTTCTGAAAGTTTCACCGCATGTAGATTTTATGGTAGAAAAGACAACAGTAGGAAGAGCAGAGGGGAATTCTGCCTTCTTTCCTGCCTTCCCTTAACTGCCACCCCAAAGCCATGCTCTTTCATGGCATTTCTTGCTAATGTGTGTGAGCTTGCATGCTTTGATCTATGGAAGTGTGTGTGAAGGGTGACATGGACATGATTTCACTGCTCATATCTATTTCAAACGATCTGTTCTGCTGCAGTCCAGCAAGTAGCAGTCTGTACCAAGATTGTTGCTTGCTTTTTTCTTCCAACTTAAACACCTATGTCATTCCATTTACCATTTAATTTGTGAGAATATGAAGAGTATGAAATCTGCTACTAACTGGATAACTAAAATCAAGGCTGCCTATGTATCCTTGGCTCTTCCTTGTTAAATGTATGCCTTGCATGAACAAATTCCTATCTCAATTACATAGATGTTCAGTGTGAACACCTGTGTAATTGAAAGCAAACCCATCCACAGTATTTAGTTACATGACATTTTTTCCTTCCAAAGGGTCCCTGATAGATCAGTGTGCATGACAGATAGCATTCAGTAAATGAGGCAGCTGCTTAATTTTTGTCATTGCTGTTCGCGGCACAGTCCCTCTGAAACCCTGTATGTTGCAAATTCTTCCATTAATAAAAACTGCATTCTTTCCCTGCAAGTCCTTTTTGGCATACTTGAATGCCTCACAAATCGGAATTAAAGTACTGGGAAGATTTATACCTATTTACTGGATGAGGAATTGAGACCCAGAGACCTTCCCAAATCAGGAAAGAAATCGCCATCAGAACCAATCTTCGTCTGTTCCAATTGGAACTTAAAAGTAGTCTAGACTAGCTTATTCACTTTAAATCTGACCTTTTTATCTTTGACTTGACTTGGTTCAGGCAGGCCATCTCCTGTCACTCAGGTTCTGTACACAAGCTAATTTCACGTGCTTTGTAGACTGTGAAAGGAGTAAGGCAAGGATCCTGAAGAAGCAAATTGTATCTGATTGTGTTATCTGATTGTGTTAATCCTGTACATCATTCAGACTTAACTATAAGTTACTTCTAACATTTTCTGTTGGTTTTTTTTTGTTTTTGTTTTTATTTTTGGGTTTTTTTGGTTTTTTTTTTTTGATATAACTTAACATGAAGGACTTCTGTGGATGTAGGACTATAATAAACAACAAATGTATGATTTAACAAGTTAATGATTTAATTTTTTCAAATAAGGTTATAATAGTCTTATTAAAAAAATTCCATGTGTTTATGTTGGCCAAGAAAACAATTTGGTAAGCTGAAGGACATATAGCACAGTTCCAGTAATTATATTGTTAATGGTTAACATTCTTGTTAAGAAATCTGTTTCTATAGTAACTGCTGCAGATTGTCACTTCCTCTAGTATTTGGAATAGTACCAAAGTGAATTTAATACTGATGCTGCGAGAGACAAATCCTATGAGAGCTGCAATAGATCACTCCTAGCAGTAGGCTTTATTTGGTATGGAGATATATGAACAACACAGTTCAGTAACCATAGACGGTGTTTAAGAACTATTTATTCCTACCCTTTATTCGAATGCTCTGTGTGCATTTGCTTTTTTCCCTGCTGTACAAAGACTAGTCCTCATTTGAATCTCACAACAAGGGCACATAAAACACATAGGTATGCTTAAGATTTTAAGTTTAAAGGTGTGTGTGCATGTATATGCTACTAATTGTTAAATGTCTCTAAAGAGATTCACCATGTGTGATTTTTCACTAATAAAGAGGGAGTCAACATGGGGCAAATGTGTATGACTCAAGCTTTAAAACAAAGCCCCAGGTGAGTTTTAAAGGGCGTGTTTGTCTTATCTTCTACTACCCCTGTATTTCTTCTCTGAAACATAGTAAAGGGAGATTTTTCTTCTGCTTATAGAAATATGTATCCTCAGATGAAGTGGATGATTTCAGTGACTACGTATTCTCTTTCAGTGTATGTTTGCCTGTGTTTTTGTTTATCTCTTGAGAGTTCACAGAGCAAACTCATGACCAAATGAAAGCTGAAACTTTTTTAAGGGGAAGGGAAAATGCTTCAGATGAGAGGTATCTTCTTTTTAGCAACCACAGTTTGGGTGCTGGTATAATTCTGAGAGAAATAGAACTTTGTTTTTGCAGGTTTGTGAGTATGCATGCAGCGAACACTTGGAGATTACTGAAACTTCCTTCTTGCTTTCCTTCCAGATGGATGAGATAAAAGGCAAAGACAGGGTGATTCTGGCTCTGGAGAAAGATCTTGGTGTCCAGGCAGGCCATACACAGAAACTGCTCCTTCAGAAAGAAGCTTTGGACGAACAACTTGTCCAAGTGAAGGAGGCAGAACGATACCACAGCAGTCCTAAGAGAGAGCTTCCTGTGGGAGTCGGGGATATCACCGAACTGATGGGAAGCCCGGTAAGAAAATTGTGTTTTCTTCAAATGTTCAACACAGGATAATTGCTGGCTGGGTGTTCACATTGGGTTTTGTGGTTACTTTTAAAATACTGGAACGACTAATTAATACTAAATGGCCCTGCACTGTGCTGTGTCATTGATGATTCAGAAACTCATTGGTCATCTTGAATATAGTTAGAATTTACATTGTGAGCTTTGGCTGTGAACCCCATTATTTTCTTGGCTATTAATTTCATAGCTTTAGGAATTATTTTAACCAATGGCAAATAGATACTATTCTTCTCAAAAACTGAACCATGTGATTTTAATCTGTGTCCTATGCACTAGAATGATTTTAGCTGATAGTAAGAAATCTGGTTTGTTTATTTATTTATTTATCTTTATTAATCTAGTTGCTTTTTAAAAAAATTGTTAAACCTTTACATACATTTCACAAGTAGACACTTTTTATGTAATGTGTCACATAGCACTTCCACAGGATGTTGTTTAATATTTCAGTTAATTAAAATGTGCTTTCCAGACATTGATGTACAAGTCTATTTTAAATTTACACAACCCGCTTACTAAACTATGATATGAAATTATGGATAGTAAGATATTTTTAAGAGGTAATTTTACATATCTGTATGTTTTTGATATAAAGGAGCAGCATTTGGATGAACGAGATGTGCGGAGATTTCAGTTAAAAATTGCTGAACTGAATGCTGTAATAAGGAAGCTGGAAGACAGAAATACTCTCTTAGCAGATGAAAGAAATGAACTGGTAAATTAATTAGTAATAACACAGATGGTGACTGGGAGGGCATCTTTATGGTAAAAGACTGAATGTTGGAAAGTCAGTGTTATAAATAATTTATAAATTAGTTCCAGTTGGCCTCAATCAATTATATCTAAATACAACAGAGATTTCTATAGAAATTCACTTTGTGACCATAAAAGACATGGATGGAATCTCTCTTGTTCCAAAAAAATAAAAATTTATAAATTTATTTTGGGGTCAGTGTAATCAAATTGGCTGGTAGTTTGCCTGCAGCACTGTGTAATGATGTTGTGTAAAACATGCGTAATCTATGCCCTTAACTTACTGTGTTAATCTTTTTGAAATTTGACATTGGTTTTATGACATGCTTATGCTAGCTACGAGTTAAAAAAGCCTTCTTGTGCTAGTGATGAAAGATCTGCCATTTCTCAAGGGAAATCTCTTAAGTAGGTGAAATTATCCTAGGAGAGTGATAGTAACTTACAAAAGAAAGGATATGACACAAATTTTAAGAATGAATTTTATTAGCCTGCATCGGTTCTTAATTGCTTGCACTGAGGTTAATGGTAAAACTCCCATTGACATCAATGGGAGGCGGGTTTTAACTGTAGGAGTTTTTACCTATGTCCTTGTATAATGCTCGAATTCTAACAGCACTAGAAAAGATTTTTTTTCATTCTAATCAGATGGAATTTTTCTCTTCTGCAACCTATGTATCTGATTCTAAAATAACGTTATTATGTCTGGTCAGGGCAGAAGGGGAGGGCACCCTTGCCTTGTGTCAGACATATAGGTGAGCAAAGCATTGACATCTTCCTCCTTGCTTTGTCAGACTTAGCTCTTCATGTTGAGATATGAAGGCTTTGCTTTATGATAAAAGGACTTAATTTAGTTAAGATGTCTCAACCGTTATCTGAAGAGCTAATTTTTGAAATTTTTCTTGTCCAACATCTTGGCTGAATCTAGATTAGTGAAGTCAGTTGAACAATGCTAGACTAAAATTGGATGAATTGTGAACATAATCATGTCTTTTTCTTCAAACTTTTCCTCTTTAAATAGCTGTATAATCTAAACTGCCTTTTCGTATGAAAAAAATCGATTCCTCATTAACAATTCAAGTTTCTTGGGGTAAGAAGAACATGTGTTTTAGCCTGGGTATAGTTTGCCGTTTTTGCTACTTTACCTAAGTGCGGAGTGTTTGTTGTTTTTATTTTTTTTCCCCCACTTTTACTGGTACAGTTGCTTTTCTCTGCTCTATACTCTCAAGAACATCTTGCCTTTTTTCAAGATTACATTATATAAAGACAAGATAATTCAGCCTCCTAATCCTTTCTGTGTACATAAGTATTTCAAAACGTCCCTGAAGAATGCTGAAGTGCTGCAACATCTATCCTTCCATGTCCCTCTAGATGGAGGACGTGTATGACTCAGTCAAGTGCTCTTCTTGATGCTTGACTTAGAGGCATAAGAAATATATTTTGGAAAAGATATAGAGAAGGTTTTATCACATTGTGGGACAATATTACATAAAACCAGTAATATCAGTAACATTGTGTGATTAAGCACTGTGAAAAATAATTTTCTCCTGAGAATGAAATAGAAAACCAAATACTCAGAAAGATTATGTTTTTCTCATTTCCAGTTAAAACTCAGTAAATTTAAAAATCTTTTGGTTGGAAAAAATAATTTTTTACAAACAAAACAGCTGAAGGATTAATGAAATAAAAAGAGTGACATATTGAACACACAGAAATGCAAGAAAGGGCAGTAATTTGCTTCACATAATTGTCTAACATCATAAAGCCACAGGAACAAAATTGAGCAGCTTGAAAATGTCAGCAGAATGCTGAGATTGAATCTGTGCCCTCTGGCTGAATTTCTCATTGTTCTAATTACACATTAGGTATAGGGGTTTTTAAAGTAGAGGAGGAAGAATTTACTCCTAGTACGGGATAGCTAAATTGGTGAAAATGACTACTCTAGAGACCTAGTTGGTCAAAAAAGCTTATATACAATTACATTAGTTTGTCAAGAAATCACTTTTACAGATCATCGTAAGTGTTTTCCAAGAGCAAAATCCACTGCCAAATCTAGTGTTTTTGTAGACTGTACAAAAATGCTACATCTTACTTATTTGGACTCGTGTAGTTCTTAGTTGAACAGTAGGTCTATATCAGATGCTACTTAACAAAAGAACTAAACTTTCTGAATGAACAAAGAAGGCAAGTGCAAACACTGATATCTCTTCTTTTCTACAGCTATAAACTAAAGCACAGCTTACTTTGTTCCTTTGCCATTTGCAGCTGAAACGTTCTCGGGAGACAGAAAGTCAGCTGAAACCTTTGGTAGAAAAAAATAAGAGGATGAGCAAAAAAAATGATGATATGTTGCAATGTATCCAGAGAATGGAAGAGAAAATAAAAAATCTATCAAGGGAAAATGTAGAACTAGTAAGTAATCTCTCACATCATGTTATAAGAACGCATTGCACACTGAGGTGAAGGGGCTTGTGAGGCTTTTACTGTAATACAGACATTTCAGAGTGTAAACGCTGGGATGGTATCTGTCAAATTCAGCCAATGCAGCTGAATATTCATATTGTAAATTCAGAGTGGCGTGTGCTTTGTGTTGTATCAATTCACACTGATTAAGGGAAAGGATCACATGTAGACAAAGTGTGTTTGTAGGCTATACAAACGTATGACTAAAAATCAACTTTAATAAAAGCTGCTTTTGTGATTAGATGTCAGAACTGAATTTGAGTGCATGTCCCAAAGGCTCTATTATGCCCTATGATAGATCATTGAGTTCACTTGTCTGCTAAATTTGTCCCAGACTATGTTCTTTGATTATTTTTAAAAATATCTTATGTGAGATACTAACACTAAGGCATACAGAACGTGTAATTTTTTTTTTGTTAAAAGAGGCCTTATGTTGTAGTGGAGCATGCACTGATGAATTCAAAGAACTCTTGATTCACACATGAGAATTTTCTTCCTGTTACAGCAAGACACTTAAAAACGTTCTTTATATTTAATTTTTCTTAAATTTTATTTCAATTTTTGTAGAAAGAGAAGTTATCTGCACAGCCAGCGCTGAAGAGGCACACATCTTTGAATGATCTCAGCAGCACACGGGAGGAACAAGAAATTGAATTCCTTAGACTGCAAGTCAAAGAACAGCAGCATGTTATTGATGATCTCACAGTGGTAATGCTTATGACTGGTATACACACGTGCATGCACACACATCTATAGGCAAGCTAAAGATTTGAGAACGGTATTTTAACTCCAGTTGTAGTAGTGATACAGAAATAGTTCTTTGGTATCAAAGGGTTCTTGTTATTTCTCAGGTAGTGAATGAATTTATTTGGAATGTGTATGAGTCTGTGTATTATAAAATATTTACCTATTATGAGCTGCTTGTGAAAAGGAGTGCATCAGTCCATCCACCTTACTTACGAAAGCGGCTGTCAACGACTGAAGAACTTGAGGAAAGGACACGTTCCAAAACTTAATGACTGAAATGTGTTGGATGTAGACCCTAGTGCAAACCCAACCACTACCCTGATCTGGAAGTTCTCCTAAAAGAAAGGAACGTGCAGGGTGGCATTAATTTCGCCTAACTAAGCATCTCTAACAGGGCTGGCCACACTAGCTGTCTTTATAACAGACAAAGAGAAGTATACATGGTTCATCTAACCAAAGGTAGCAGCATAGTTTAAGATTAGAATTGCACAGCTGCTACCCTCTGACCATGAGGACTGCTTAAGATGATGCTCATAGATGTTTGTACTGTTTGATCAGGACTCTTTTGAGTTGCGTTAGAGGTTGTCTAGTGCTATTTAGTGCACCTTATGATATACCCTTCTGGTGCTGGCATAAATGATGTATCATAGAGTCATAGCATCACAGAATGGTTTGGTAGGAAGGGACCTTGAAGGTCATCTAGTTCCAACCCCCCTGCCATGGCCAGTGACACCTTCCACTAGACCAGGTTGCTCAAAGCCCCATCCAGCCTAGCCTTGAACACTTCCAGAGATGGGGCATCCACAGCTTCTCTGGGCAACCTGTTCCAGTCCCTCACCACCCTCACAGTGAAGGATTTCTTCCTTATATCTAATCTAAATCTTCCCTCTTCTGGTTTAAAACCATTGCCCCTTGTCCTATCACTACATGCCCTTGTTAAAAGGCCCTCCTCAGCTTTCTTGTAGGCCTCTTTTAGGTACTGGAAGGCTGCTATAAGATCTGGTTTATATATGATCTCTGAGAGACCCCTGGCCTTCTGGAGCAGGACCTGGAACCCAGGGAGACTCAGAACATCTGAAATGGCACTACTGAGTGCTACAAAATGATAACACCAATTTAACATCATTCTGTTTAAACAGAAAATTAAACAATTGGATACAACATTGAAAATAAGAATAGAAAACCCAGAAATATAAATCAACAAGATGTGTTATTGCTCTGTCTGGAACATTGTCTCTGTTCTTGGCAGTTCCTCTGAGATTTTGACCCAGGATTTCTCTCTGTAATCAGTGCCAAAGATTGATATCTGTATGCATTCTCCAGTGTCACAGTGTTACAAGCAGTAGCATGTTACTCTGATGTGGAGTTTGATTCACAGAGCAATGCTGCTTTACCTTCCAAGTACAATTGTACAGGCAGGGACTGTGACATGATACTAAATTCACAGTATATGGCAGATATAACCTCACTTATATTTAAGTGTGGAGTGGGTATGAAAGGGCTCTCTTCTTACTGTCTCAGCCAATAATCTGAGGAAATAAATTGTATCCTGATTTTGGTCAAATAGTATTAACTTGTGTTTAGTATGAAAGTAAAATAAATAAATATTTTGAAATACAATTTCATTTTTTGCTTTGTTTCCTATTTACAGATACTATTTCACTCGCAGAAATAAGTTGTTGACTAGGATACTGCTTTAGTTGGCAGTACAAACTAATTGATGCTTCGCCTTTGATACGAATGCAGTAGAATTCTGCACTTCCGTTATGCTTTTTAGCTAGCTTTTCTAGCTCAAACTACACCTCTACAGAATACAAATGTATCATAATTATCAGGAATGACCCACATGTCACATACCTGATTAATGCAAAAGTCGTCAGCTTAGCTCCAGCTGAGGCCAATATGATACACAGAAATAAGAATAGTCTTAGGCAATAGGGTTGTCTGAATTGATTAACAGTGTCATTTGTAGGATACCTTTGATGCTGTTGAAGCCATAGCAGTGTGAGTTCTTCCACAACAGTGGTCAGTTCTTAAAAACAAAGCTGTCAAGATAAACTCAGATGATTGCAAAAGATGTGAGTGATTCAGCAAATGGTGTTTTTTAATTGGCATTATTATTGTTCTGGTAGCTTGATGTGTTATTGACACAGTAAATTAAGCAGTCTTTTTACAAACAAGATTAGAAACAGGAAGGAGTGGGGGATTTTGGAAGTGTTTGTTCATTCTGCACTGAAGTGAGAGGAAAGTCCAAGTTTTTGGACACCTGCTTGGGAGGCAGGAGACCCGGGTTAAAGCAGAGACTGTGCCTTAACCAGGTACCTAAGGAGAGAGCATTTTTCTCCAACACTATAAAATTCAACCGTGTGCTTTCAGCTTTAGCTTAATATGTCACATTATATTATTCTGCAGCTTGAAATACCTGCTCCATTCTACTTTGGCAGCCTTTACTTTTCCTTGTATGAAAACCACAGGTATTAAAGGTGCTATACAAGTTGGGCTTTTCTGACTTATTTCTTATTTTCCAAAACTTCATTCCTGGAACAGTATGTTTATAAAGATAAATTATTTTGTTGTGATTTCCACTGGCAGCTTCTTATTTATTCAGTTTCTGAACTGAATATAAAGCAAGTAACTCTGAATAGACTAATACAATGCAATGAGCAATAACTGCTAGAGAAGCACTTGGAACTATATCATTCTTCTAAAAACAGATTTGCTGCAAACAAAGATGTAGAGCTGGGGAAAGAATCAGAAAAAAGGCAAGGAGTCAGGTCACCTCCCTCCTGTGTTATTGGGTGTTTTTTTTGCTTGCTCCTTTGCATTTTCTACCTTCTCTTCCTCTTCTTTGTTGGAATTCAAGACAGTATTCTTAGACTTAAATGTTTGTAAACCTGCATTTTTCCAGTTATAACCTCCTCCTGTTTTGATGTAGTTAATTGTGATCTTATTCCAAAGCCACAGTAGAAAAAAAGACACAGACTAAACTGACACAGATTGAGAGTGCCTTTGGATTTGACACTTTTGCCCTACAACGATAAATAACGTGTAGCACTATATCTGCGTGTGCATGCTTGTATATGGGAGTATGCCTGATATAATGACTTGTAATTACTAAGAGAGGATTCATTTTTGGCTACTGACCTGCTTCTTCAGGATGGTTGAGCACTGGAGTGGGAATGTGAATTCTGTTTCCATAGTGAACTTCTTGGTAAAAGAGTCAAAAGAACTGTTGGAAATCTGAGCTCAGTATTTAACAAAGCCTTTTCTTGCCAACTTCCCATCAAGTGTGTAAAGTATATGACTGAAGGTTTGTTTGCTAAAGGAATAAAGCTGCAGTACAGCATGGTGTTATATCAACATGGCATTATTCAAAAGGATAAAGACATTGTTTTTGTGTTAGCTTTATCACAGACTTTAAGAAAAATTTAATGATGTTTCTTTGTGTTAGACATACCTAAATATGTTTTAAAAGAAACCCATACCAAAATGTTTTCTTTCCTTCTAGGAAAGGGAACGGTTATTGCGGTCTAAAAAACAGAAGAGGAAAAGTCTGAAGCCTCCAAAGGTGAGCAAACCTTTGGTTTCCCATGCATTTCTGTTGTTGTGAGCAACACTTGTTTCAAATTCTGCCTGAAATTAAAGCGCTACTTAAATTAATGGTAAAATTTCATGTAATTCTCCTGTCTTCTTTGGTGAGTGCTAATTAACTTTTTCTTAGGACAATTCAGGAGCTGCAAGTTTTGTACGGCACACAAGTGTTGTTGGTTTGGGGTTTGTCTTAATATAATTACACTTTTAGCCATTGTGGCCTAAATATTCAAGTGCCTTGAGGCCTAAATGATGTAATAACTTGGAACAACTAACATTTCAAAGGACAAATACTCAGTTCTTTTTAAAGAAAATACACACTTTAAACTACTCGTACCAAGTTACTACTTAATTGCAATTGAAAACTTTAACTCATGCTAGGGATGTTATTGAAATGACATTTCTGTATGTGATATATATATAGTAAAAAGATTCTAACTAATTTTCTTGAGTAGCTATTTTTCTCTAGAACGCAAAGTAAAAAAGAAAAATGTAGATTGTAGAAACAGAAAAGTTTTGCTTCAGAGTGTTTATTATAACACTTTAGTGTTTATTATAACACATACTTAAAGTAATTAATTTTGCTGAATAATGTTTTTTTTGAAGTTGAACATTAGCAGCCTGGACCGTGTGAGGGGAGGAGAATGGGATAAGAAGGGAAAAAATGGAAGTGAAGAGTGGAGAGCTAATTATCGTCTGTATGGTAGCTTAAGATATATTCTGTCATAAATGAGTGCTTGTTGTCAGCGTATTCTGTGTAGTATATTCCTGATGATCTCAGGTGGTGCTTTTTTATTGCTTTACATTCTGTAATACTTGTATTCTGAAAGATTTATCCTTTGGGGTTCTCTGTTTCAGCAGTAATTTCTTCAAATTATGCTTCTAATAATGATGTGTCTTTTACATGTGAAAAAACAAAAATTCAGAAGTAACAATAAATCTTGTTTTTTTGCTGTTATGTAATGGAAAGCTGATAGACACCAAATATATTTACAGTGATCCTGAACCATTCTTTCTTGGTGTAATATAGCTGGAAGTCTATGTGTTGAGAACAAGTTCGAAAACAGGACATTAAATATATATATAGATATGTAACTAAAACTGTAATTTTTATAGTCCTCTCTAATTAGTAGCCCTTATCCAATTTTAAATTACTTGTGTAAGATCTTTTGCTAAACTGTAAAGTTCCTAATGAAAAAAATCTAGTTAATGTAATTTTTAGGAGTTGATAACTAGTGCTGCTAATTTCTGTAGGCTGAAAACTTCTGTAACTATTCATTTAGCTCTTAAAAATGTTCTGTGTTAAGAGAACTTCAGCTCACCTGGACTCTGTATCTTTTCCTTTTACCTATTTTTCTCTTGAGCAAGCTGCTGCTTTTCTGGTATCTTCTTCTTCTTTTCCTTATTGACCAAAGCAAGAGTTGAACATGAGGGTTGGAGAAAATCTGTATGATACTAATAAAAAATTAGTGGCAGTGCTATTCTTCATGTGGTAAAAGTACTATTATTGGGGGTTTCTGCAGAGATTTCTGCAAGGATTGTGGGCATATGAGCAGCAGCATTAGTAGGGGTTTGCTTCTTATGATATGATGGGTACACCAGAAAGAACAAATTAATCAGTAGCAGACATAACTCGCACTAGTTACTCCATCCCCTCTCCATTAACTCTTCAGTACCAATATGAAACTGGCCATTTGAAATTTTATTTGATGTTATCTCCTCAAAGGAAAGGCAGGACTAAAAACAAAAACAAGTGAAAAAGAGAGGAAGTTGTGAGAGAATAGTGAATGGGATTATATATACCGTACTAGTTATACTATTTATACTATGCTAGTTATTATATAACTACGTAGATATAGTTTCTAAATGTGCTAATTCCTTAAGGAAGGAAAGAAGTAATCAATAATATATTTATTAGTGTCCTATTACCTGCCATCATATAAACCTGTAGGCTATTCACGTGTATATGCCATGTTGACTTGGAGTTTAAACACTGTTGATGTTAGCTTCTAAAAATCCAATCCTGGCATACAGGCTGATTTCCTTCCAGGTCACCTGTGTGATCCTGTGAGGATCAAAATCCTCAAAGGAAGAATGGACTGCTTACCCAGATGAGCTGTTGGGATTGTACCATCTTCATCCTCTCTGTTTTTACAGCCTATCTCAGGAATCCAGATGAAAACAGCTGAAAAAAACAGGCATTTGCAATGCTTGGTTAGATGTCATTAGTGGAGGTGAGAGATAGATATCTCACCCTGGACAGAATGGTAACATTAAGAGATGTTTGTTCTCATCTGGAACTAGATATCTAAACAGACCATATGAGTTTTGTCCTAAAATTGCCTGTTTCTCTCCATGGACTATAAAAGCAATCTAAGATGAGTTGCTTTGTATAGAGACACATACATTGCAAGTGTATTTCCATCTATGATCTGTGCAATATTTTTATATTATAGAGATGATAACCTATATATAATAGTAGACAAAATTATGAGTGCATCTGTCCTAACCAACCACTCAGAAGGAGAAATCACTGACATAAATAATTGGCTTTGCTTTTTTGAGTCTCGTTAAATGTAAAAATAACATTAGCACAGTGAATCATCAAAGTTTGGCTGTTGGAGTTGGATCTGTTTCCAGCTGTGTCCCACTTCCCTTGACAAACTGAAAAGGGAAATAACTGATGAGAATTAGGCTTCATGAGTGTAGTCAGATAAGCTCAGACTAAAAGGCATAGAAAGGTTCCTTTTTTGTTCTAGTAAAGAAGAACTTGGTGCACAGGGTGAAGACTCATCTACTCATCCACTGTTGCAGCTTCTCCTGAATGGGTACTTTTACACTCCAGATTCCTTAATTTTCAAGGTACCCTGGACAGTGTCTGTGTTTGGTTTCTAATATGAGTATTTTCCTGACAGTGATTCCTGTTAGCTGGAACAGAATCTGTGGCATGCCTTTCTCCATCTTTAAGATAGTTTGTATGAATGATCTGTCAGGCTAGTCTAGTAGCATTTATAGCCCAGTTGGGTCTAAAGAACATTAGTTCAGCTCAGAAGCTTTTGAAAATACCAAGGATTTAAATATTTTTTGCGTGTGTGTGTGTATGTTATTTCTGAAGCTCTGTAGGTGCACTAGGTTACTGTTGCTAGTGTAGCTTTCACTGAGCACTCTTTTAATTACCAAGGGGCACAAGAGTCCACAGAACAGCGCTGGCAACGGGCTCAGGTTCCCCAAGGAAAGGAGCAGCATAGTTGCATGGGGCTTTATAACCTCTGTCGTTGCAAGGTGTTTAGAGGAGTAATGTAGTGACTCTGTATATTCAGGTGCTGTAGGATAGTTTTCTCTGAAGTGAAGCAACCTAAGCTGATAAAGGTGGTTTGGTTTTGGTTTTCTTTTGTTTTCTAACATTAATGTGCCAACGGACTTGTTAGGAAAAAGAAGTACCAGAGGTGAAGCTTCTTTTGCTGTTTAAAGCATGCTTTTTTCCAGTTTTCCAGGTGTTTTTTTTCTATACCTTTTTTTCTTTTCCTTCCAGTTTTGGAATTGAAATAACCAAGAAACTCTGCAAACATTATTTTTGGGGTTTTGTTTATTTTTGACATGTAGAGTGGAATTACAGTGATTCCATGATTGATGAAGTCACTTGTTTGAAAATAAGGCATAATTGCCCAGTTTGTTTGGAAACTGCAGGACTCTATGGATTTGTTTCTTTATTTAAACTTTAAAAAATAAACTGTATTCACGATAGTGGAAAGCTTGCACACTGGGGTGATGGAGTTCATATTTCTTGTTTTATATTTTTCTTTTTTTATCTGCCTCTGTGTTTTGGTGTGCCTGTATTTTTCTGGCTGCCAAGAAATGACATATAAGCATGAAGGTAAGAAGTTACTGATTAGTTCATCTGATTGCATTACAAGCAAAGTAATCTTGGATCATTTTCATCATGTAAGATTAATTACTTGAAAAATGAGATATTTAAATGTAAAGTGAAACTACTTTAAAATAGAGAAATAAGATTATTTATATGAAAGTATATCTAATCCAAACCATTAAAAAAATGAGTATGTTGAAATTTGCATATAATATGGTCTATGTGTCACTATTGATTTATAACATTCTAAACTTTAATGTTTACTGAGCACCATACTTCAGTAGAAGCATTCATACTTGAATTATAAAGACCTAATGCATAATTTTACTTTAAAATTATGTGAAAACTTCAATAAAAATCCACATGAAAAATACTTGCTCTTAAATGCATGGCAGTAGTCAGTGAAATTAGAATTTAAATCAGAAATTGTCAGCAATTTATATGACTGTTTTCTCAGTTATGAAGTTATGATTTAGAAGTAACAAATGTACAAATCAATATAAAAGAATCTTTAAATTGTCAATGGAGAATGTTCCTAAGACTAAGAAAATCTGAATGAACCTTGAATGAAAATAGTGTATAGTTACAAAAATCCAGTGAGTATTATACATGTTTGTATACACTTTTCAAAAACCATTGTGATTCAACTTTTGAGCTATATGTGGAATCTCCCTGGGAGTTGGTGTATTTATTTATGTCTTATTATTTATTACAGTGTTTATCAACAAACTTTGTATGAACCAGATGTCTTTTTTCTTTTTTTTCTCTCTACAACTGTTCCCTTAACAATTAATTTGTTCTTATTTTACTGTGAATCACTTCTTGTAGCTAGTTGCTTCAGATATTAGATGATCAACAATAAAAAAGGCTATTTTGTAATTATGACATGAAGCAATTCATAGATGTGCAATTAATATACAATGGTTAAATACCATATCTCTATTTATATGGAAAGTATCTGTTCCACAAAATGATAAACGTACAGCTTCTCTAAAGAGGAAGGCGTCATTAAAAATAAATAAGTGGTTCACTCATAGCTCCAAGTATTATAGGCAGTCTGTACAGCATTTAACAGTTTTTGACTTTTGACTCTCCTTGAAGTGTTGGGTTTTTCTATTGTGAAGTATCTAATAATCAGGTGATTTGTTTATTGATATATGCTAATTATTTTTCCCTACTTTTCCAACTAGTGAAATGTTTAAATGCAGCTAATATCTTTTGTCAAAACAATGGCATTGCTTTAAGTATCTTTTCAAATGTATATACATTTATGTGAAATCGAACCCGCTGTTGTTTTACTATTATGTTTTCACCCTTTGAAACAGTGTGCATGGGCGTGTGTATGCAGAGTTAAGGGAACATACATACTTAGGCTGAGTTATCTACAGAAGCGGCTGTAGTTTGAGGTATAGCAAAAAGCCCCATAGGTATGATAAGCCTTATTGTCAGTTTTATCTAAGCTGCTGCTGACCTTCATGACACTGTATTCTCTGTGCCATATATATGATAATACAGCAGAGTTTTGCTCTCCATCTTTTCCAAGTGCCTTCTACCAACCTATTCAAAGTCAAGGCTTGATTCTTATTCACTTTGTCAGCCCTCAAGCCTGTACTTTATTGCAGATTTTGGTTGAGATTTGCTCAAGGGCATTTGTCATTTTTGAGGCCAGGCATCCTTGAAGCAGGAGGCACGAGCAGGTTCAACTGTTCTGCAGTCCTTGGAGTTGCTTATCCTGGCTAGGTTCCTCCAAAGCACAGGCGAAATGTTCTGAGCTCCATCCGCAGACAAGCTGGTGCGGACAGAAAAGCAGGATCTAAAAGTATTCGTATAAGAGTCTGCGTGTAGCTTTGTTTTGAGTTTACTCTCAGCATCTTTGAGTAACAAATATCCATGCTGCAAAATGAGGATGCGGTTTTCATGAAAGTCTCTTGGTTTTTGTTTACCTGCCATCATCTTCTTTACCTCCATATAATCTACCTTCATCTTTATTAAACTGTATCTGCTTGTCAGTTTGGAGACAGAAGGAAATTCTTCATGCTGAGTTGACCTGGCCATCCAGGTTGTAAATTTGTCTTCTTTACAGCTTGAAGGCAGCACTGTTTCCTTAGCTCTGTTTTCAACTGCTGGTATTTACTTGTAGTATCACTGTTAGATGATTATAGGCTGCAACCAGTATTCAGTGTGGAAGAAATGCTGGATGGGCCATCTCCCAAGGACTAATTACAGCTCAGTTTTCATGGTAAACCTTGGTACTTGTGAGAGAGGAATCTGAAATGTTTGTAATTTGAGTGTGAGGGAACACATCAGCTTTCTGGATAAGTCTTTATATTTCTAGAATAGAGCTTAAACGTGTTCCCCGTGTACTTTGTTTTGCTCAGTAGGACAGAATGGTGAACAAATTGGTGTATCATGTGAATGCTGGAGGAAAGAATTAAATTATCCCAGGAAAGTGTTTATCTGAAGTGCGTTAGACATAGCTCTGTCTAGTTAAAGGATCACAGTGCTTCCTAACTGAGTAATGGGTCTTTACAGGGTTTTAATACTATAAATACACTCCTTTTCTTTACTTGTAAATACAATAAATAGTAACTCTAGTGGTCTAGTAGCATGCAAAAGGAAGTTTGTTTCTGAAGATTGTTCAAAAGCTCTTTGCCTTGTGTACTGTATCATATTTATCTGTATGGAAATATGTAACTACAGTCTATTTGGAAAAGATGTGGCTTTTTTTTTTTTTTTTTTTGAGTGCATATCATCCTTTCATGTGGTCAGATGTGGTCTGAGTGAATTTTTTAAATTATTATTTGTGGTGCTTATCTTAAGTGTAGCAGTTAAGTGGTTCAGAAGAGGATCTTGAAACTGTCTTTGGTACTTTGAGTGGGATTAGCTGCGCTGTGAAACTACGATGGAGTTGTTTTGCTAATGAGTGATGAGACTGTAACCTGGTGCACCATGGTAAACAGGGATGCAGGCTGTAAATGGAGTGCATGGTGTCATGCATGCAGGCACCAAGTCACGCCTACAAGCTTGATTTTATGGTACCACTTAATTCATGATAGAATATTTTGGCTGTTGATAAGAGCTGTGCTGAACCAAAGGAATGTATTAAGCATTTTGGGCCTTTGTGAGAAAGTGAAGACAGTACTTTGCAGACATACTGGAAGAAGGTATAAAGTTAGATAAGTCTAGAAGACTGTGGTGAAAGGTAAATATTTGGAATTCATCATGTATAGGGCATTATAGATAAAACAAAAGCTTTCAGAATCGTGCATGAAATTGATAGCTCACAATTCTACTCACTTAGCCAGTTTGGCTTTGCTGAGATGTAAGATGTGTGATGTTCTGAGTTAATCACAACTGATAATTTTTTTTTTTTATCATTCAGGCCTTTCTAATGAAGAGGGCTATTATCTTCTCACATACTACCTGTGGTTTATAGTTTTGTTTAAAAAAAACCCCAAACTATAACATTAGGATCTATGATTCAGCGTCAAGCAGTGCCAAAAAATATAGAGATGGATAGACAGACTTTCCTTCATCTTCTTAGAGCAACCCCTCTCCTCTAGCTTCCCGGTCTAGGATGCTTCATAACCCGACTCCATTTTTCCAGCAACACCCTTTTTTTTTCCTTTCCTTTGTTTTCTTGCTCCTCTGAATTTGTGTTGGGTTATTAGAACCCTTGTATGGTGTAAAACATTAGGGTTTCTATAGATTAATAACATTTAAATGTTGTTATTGTTATTTTGGAAGGAAAAACACTTGAAACTTGTTTTTTTAGTTCAATGTTTAAACAATTTTTTCTTTTTTTTGAACAGCAGAATTTTCCATTGAAATTTGCTGCTTTTTGAGCATATGTTAGGAAACTGGGGGAAAGGGAGCTCTTAATGGTTAAAGAATTATGGCAGTTGTGATATTTTATATAAAACATAATATTTTTCACAATGAATATTGTACTATTTACTTCCATTGGCTATTCATTTCCTCTAGTTTTCTGTAAGCATGCATTTAATTGATTACATTGTGTAAAATTTTTAAAATATTCATTGAAATGCTGGTTTTCCCTAAGCATAGTTTTTTTGGTTAGTAAAAATATTGGAGCAAACTTTTGAAAAAATTGAGAATGATGATGTTAGAAAAACAAATGGAAGGTGGCAATTTACGCTTTTGAGTAGGATTTTGCAAAATATTATAAATTAATCTTTTTCTTCTTCTTTTTCTTTTTTAAAATTAATATGAATGACAAAATTTGTTCCACATTGTTCTTCAGAATGTTTTTCCCTTTGGGTTCCATATCTTGTACGTTATATCATATTGGGTTACTTTCTTCTTAATAGATACTGCATTCCTCTACTGTGAATCTTGTGAGATCTGTATGATTTTGGTAATTAGCTTTTATACTAAAGCATTACTCTATTGGAAATTACCCAGTGCTATGTACAGTTCAGTCCTTGGAGATTCTTATACAAATGATGTTGAAAAGGTAGCTAATTTAATTGAGGAATGAGTTTACAAAGGAGCCTTTTTTGCTTCCTAAATACTAAAATAATGGTCAGAGAATAACTTGGCTACTGTTTACCAGGTCGTTGGAGTTTTCCAACTATTTTGCTAGTAACTAAGAAAAACTAATTTTTCAGAGGCATGTTGTGGAGACATTTTTTGGATTTGATGAAGAATCTGTTGATTCAGAAACATCATCTGTAACTTCATATAACACAGATAAAACAGATAGGACACCAGCAACACCAGAGGAAGATTTGGAAGATGTAAGTAGTAGATGACTTGTTCTTAAGTTCTATAAAAATTGACATGGAGTATAAATGCAAAGATTTTTTTCAGCTATTCTGCCACAGGAATGTTGACAGATTTGGCAGAAAATTGCTTTATTTTCTTTCAAGTCCAGTAACACATCCACAGTCATTGCAATAGAATTAATAAGATAATATTCTGCCTGACAGATTTGGCAGATATTAGGCTGAGAAATAAAATTGTTTTTCTGAAACCCTTCCTTATTAGTCAAAAGAAAATGAATAGGCATGTTGCTTTACCAAAAGTCAATAGTCACTAGACAATAATTTGCCTTTCAACCTTATAATTTATTTGACTGTTTTGATACAACTAGGATTTTCCTTCTGTACTTACAATACTGAGAGAGGCTTTTGCAATTCATCAAGGCTTAAATGATCATAGGCAGTAAATACCCACTGACATGTTTTGTTTCAGCTCTGTGATAGATATACAGTGCACCTGGCCTACTTTAAAAGATTGCAGGGCTGATGACAAAGCATGAATTAGATGCCCTTTTTCATCTTTCTCTCCTGTTAGCTAACTTGTGCCTAATACTCCTCAGTCACAAGAAGCTTCATATTTTTCTAGGTTTACTATCTAATACTATTGTAATCTCTTTTCCTTAGAGCTCGAGTTCCTGGAGCAAAAATTAATTAAAGGGAAGGACATTTCTTGCCCTCAGCATTATAGGAAAGACCTTGAAAGCATTGATGCCAGTTGCTCAAAATTCAAACAAAATTAAGACATTAAAAATACTTCATGTTAAAAAAAAATTTTAAAAGCGTTTAATGGATTTTAAAATATTACTTCTGTGTCAGTGTGCTTGTGCTGGTAAAATGCTTTACCCTGGCATAGTAGAGACAAAGAGTAAGGGAGTGATGGACTGCATGACAAATAGAACGAACCCCTTCTGCAGCCCCCATGGCAGTGGAGTTGCTGAAGACAGTGGTGCACAGAACTTTTCCCTCTCATCTTTCCCCAGTCAGTTTCTTTCCATTTCTATACATTACTGCCTTACACAGCAACTTACACTGTCCTGAAATTGTGCAGTCAAAACAGTTACTGATCTCTTAATTCCTGTGTCATCCTCAAATCATCCTTCCTTCCATTTCTACTTGTTTTGGTTTTTTAAACCTTTATTAAACTTTGAGACCCAGTATGAGTTGTGTTACTTGTTGTGTTTGTGAGTCTATCTGTCTATATAAACAAGCCTATTATCATACATATTTATTTTTACATGCACAAAACCACTTTTTTTTCCCCTCTTCATTAAGAGCACACCTAAAGAAGAAGCTGAACTAAGATTCTGCCAGTTAACAAGAGAGTACCAAGCTTTGCAAAGGGCATATGCATTGCTTCAAGAACAAGTTGGTGGAACCCTGGATGCAGAGAGAGAAGCAAGGGTAATTTTTTTAACTGAAATTTCTTTTAATTCTGAAATTATTTAAAAAGCTGAAAAAACTTGTAGTAGTGGGAGACATCTTTGCAAGTCAGTGAAATGCATAGCACAATGTTTTTGAGGATTAGAGGATATTATCAGTAAAGTGACAATTTAGATTCCTCTGGTGCGATCAGAACAGAGATTTCATTATACTTTATTCTAGCATGCATAATACCTTAAAAATTTCGGTAGTAAGACAGTGTTATTGAGAATGCTTCCCAATTGAATCTGCAATTTGGATAGCAACATGATGGATTGAAAATGAATTGGAGAATAGGTTGTTTTAAGTACTTAAGTACTTTTATCATATGTGTATATTAAAAATCTGACCCAAATCTGACAAAAGAAGTTTTTCTTCAAGTGTTTTCTTGAATATATGAAATCATAATTTTATTTTTAAAATATCAGTTTAAGAGTATTCTTCCACTAAAAAGTACATAGCTAGCTGTTGTTCCTATTAGGTCAGTATGTGTGATTGTTTTCTCTCTCTGAAATAATTTTTTTTTTATTCTCACAGCAGTCTGTACTATAGGTATTTGAGGTGTGAGAGAGTATGTATTCTGTTGTGATTTACTTTTCTGCCACCACTGTGTTTAACCATTTGGTGCAGAGGTGAGGTCAGCAGAAGTCACGCTAACATCTTCCATTCTGTTTTTTTCAAACTGGGGAGGAGAGAAATCACTTCATAATGAATTGGTGAGCTCTGACTCAGTCCCTAGATGTATTCAGTGAACAGCAGTGGCATCAAAAAAGCTGTGTTAACTAGAGGCCAAATTTATTCTACTTTTTCCCAAGTCCTTGCAGATAGGGTCAAGTCTGGAAACGTAGCATATTTACAAGTCACCCCCTACTTGAATGACTATTGTGATCGATGACCAAAGAACATGTAACATCCAAATGGGCAAGCAATAGCCATAGGGATAGAAGTTTCAACATCATGTCCGTCATTCTGCATCAAGTACAGCTTGAACCTGTAAATTACTGACCACTGAGACAGTTGACTGATGTTATTGCGAGGCCACTCTCAATTATCTTTGAAGGGTCATGACAATTGCAGGATGTTCCTGAGAACTGCAAGAAAGCAAATGTCACTCTTGTCTTCAAGAAAGGCAAGAGAGAGGATCTGGGAAGCTGAAGGCTGGTGGTTCTCACCTTTGTCCCTAGAAAAAGGATGGAGCAAATAATCATGGAAACTGTTTCCAAATGTCTGAAAGACAAGAAGGTGACTGGGAGTGATCATTATGGATTTGTGAAAGGGAAATCACGCTTAACCAGCTTGATAGCCTTCTATGATGAGATGACTAACTTGGCAGATGAATTGAAAGCCGTGGATGTTGTTGTATCTTGACTTCAGTAAGTCTTCTGACACTTTCCCCCATAAGATTCTCATAGACCAACTGACGAAGTACAGACTGGAGAAGTGGACAGTGAGGTTGACTGAAAATCGGCTGAAATAGCTTAAAGGGTTGTGATCAGTGACAGAAAGTTCAGCTGGAGGTGCGTCGTCAGTGGTGCACTGCAGGGGTTCATACTGGCTCCAGTGCTATTTAACCTCTTTCTTAATGACCTGGATGATTGAACAGAGTGCACCTACAACAATTTTGCAGATGATAGGAAACTGAGAGTAGTGATTGATACAATGAGATAGTTGTGCTGCCACTCAGAGGGACCATTCAACTGTCTGAATAAATGCGTAAAGAGGAATCTCATCAAATTCAACAAAGGGAAGGAGAAGTCTTGCATGTAGGGAAGAATAACTCCATGCACTAGTACAGGCTTGGGGCTGGCTTGCTGGCAAGCAGTTTTGCACAAAAGGATGGCGGGGGGGGG